TAAAAATTGTAGTTTTTTATCTGCATAAGTGTAAATTTAACTTCCCTGTGAGGCAATCATGAGAAAGAAAAGACAACTTCCAGAGAAAACATTATTATTTTATGTCCTGTAAAAAAGTAGTTATAAATGCTTAAAATAATTAGAAATATTACTTTTAATAACATTTTCCAGCTTACAAATGTAAAATGAGCAAAAATACGCAATAAAAAATGTGACATATTTTGGATCGAATTCATGAAAAAAAGAAAACTGTTAAGGGATTAAAAGGCATGTTTCCCTTCTGTCTTGAAATGTTTTACTTGTTTGGAATTGCTTCGACATACAAGACATTACCATATGATTAATGTAAAAAAGTGATATCTTTGATTATTTGTCTTGCCTCAATGTGTTCGAGTGCATGATGGAACACATTATCAGCAATTCATCTTTCAGCCATAGAAGCACAGATATTATCAAGAACTAACCAACAACAGCTGTAAACACTTATCAGCTTTTAAATGCATCTCCTCAAACTCTTCAAAATACTAGTATCTTCAACATTTGTCCAATTCGTATATATTTTAATACACTGGTGTGCAAAAATTAAGGACGAAGTTGAAAAATTAGCATGTCAGCTGAACGAAGAGGCAGAGCGGACAGAAAGACCAATCAGGAGATTAAGTAAGGTGATGTACGGTAGCACATGCACAGATATGCAGGTAGACGTCATGGGGGAGTGTCTGAGTAGTATAACGCATGTTGTCATTGTAAGATCAGTATTTCTGGCAAAGAGATTACATGCCGTATAGCAGTTAAAATCACACCGAGTTGATGTCTCAGCAAGAAATGGCAAATAATCAATCTGTTAGACGACATCTGGATGCTTTTACCAGAGGTCGAATCATTGGGAAGTTGGAGGAAGGCCGCAGTGTGACAAGTGTGGCTGCAGAGTTCGGAATTGCTCACATCATTGTTTCACGACTTTGGAGACAAATTCAAACTACAGGAACAGCTATCCAGGGGTTTAGTAGTGGTCGTCCACAAGGAACCACACCCGCAGATGACTGGTATATTGCCTTAAAGGCCAGAAGAAGCAGGCGGCAGACAGCGGGTCCACAGTTCCTTTTCATGGATGACAATGCACCATGTCATCGCACAGTAGCTGCCGAACAGCTCTTAGAGAGTGAGGATATTGAATGTATGGATTGGTCGGCACGATCTCCGGATCTCAATCCCATCGAGCATGTGTGGGATTTTCTAGGCAGACGCTTGGCAGCTCGTACCTTACCACCAGTAACGATTCCGGAGCTTCGATTGGCGCTGCAAGACGAATGGGCAGCAATGCCTCAACAACTCATTGATACCCTCATTCTCAGCATGGGCAGACGCTGTGAAACCTGCCTAGCAGTCAGGGAAGATCATATCCCCTATTAAAGACCGGATTTTCTTGCTGGACACCCATCACAGGGATGTTTCGGCCTTCAGTCGCATTGCGCTCCATGCTACTTTTTCAATAAAGCTTCTTTTTATCCCTCTGATTTCTCTTTTAGTAAGTGTTACTTACATTACTCATGTCCTTACGTATTGGGGATCTTACGGTATTAAATGTGTTGATTTGGAAAGCTTTTGTACAAAGTTATATTCAAAAAACCGTCTCGTCCTTAATTTTTGCACACCAGTGTAGTTCATCTTGATTAGTAACACACATTTGCATACTGTCATCTGCATTTTTAGCCACTGAAATTCAATTACGCTCTTTCACAATTGCTCATTTGTATTGTGTGCTTAACTTTTAGAAACCAGTGTATTACAACTCATGACACAAAACGAGATTAATTTCTGGATGTAATACCTTATCGAGAGAAAAAAAAATTATGAAATATCAATAAAAGTATATGCCTAAAAGCTCAAAATTGAGAAAATATTAAAAAAAAGGAATACTGAAATAAGTTCTGTCAGAAAATTTTTGGGAACAGCTTGCACATAACCCCATTTTTTCACCAATGGTAAATATCTCCAAAACTCTCACCAATCTGTAACACAGTGGTCTGGCAACCTGATGCAAGCAGCAGAATTGAATTTTCATGTAGTTAAGCACTCAGATTTTATTTTTATCCGATTTGCAGTGTTATTAAAATGGCAAGCAAACAATAAGATTTGATAACTAGCATTTTATCATTTTTATTGTAAGACTAGCGTTGTAGACAATGTTTAAAATTGTAGACAATGTTTAAAATTTTTATTGTAGACAATGTTTAAAATGGGTATTTTGAATTTTTTGTGCGTTAAATCAAAAATTTTGTTGAAAATTTAGATATTTCTTATATTTTTTTAAATGAAATGTAAATCCTCCCCCCTTTGAAGAAGAAGATGAAATTTCAATCAACTTATTTACATTTTTGGAATTATTTTTTTCAATTTGTTGCTCTCAAAGTATGGGAGAAAATATTCAATGACTAACAAATTATTTGATTCAAATCCTTGAAATTATTTAACTTTATGCAATAACCATTCTTGAGAGTGAAATTTCTATTCAATTTAATTCACTTAAATTTTTATACTCTCCTTATTTATGACAAATTTCCTGATGTGGCAAAATTATTTTTGAAGAACATCGAATAAAGTTCAGTATATTTTATCCTTGAGAAAGCACACATATGCACACAAAAACAAAGACCACTTACCTTGATTTCCATCATAAAATTATTTCCTTAATGCAAATTTAGAAAACTTATAATCATATATGTTAAAAATTTATTGATATGATCTTCACAATACTAACATATACACACATATTTATATTAATGATACTTTTCAATAACAAAGCAAAAGTCACCATTCAATTTCACGAACAATTTCTAAAAATTTTGTGACTATGTCCAATTCTTTTGCTGCACATTGTTTCGAGAACATGCATTCTGCTAAATACAATGCAAAGTCTCCATTTCTATTATATTGGGGTAGCCCTGTTTTAATATGCCGCAATTTATCTTCAATTGTATTAGTGTGTGCTCCTGTAATTTCATCCACAAAAGAAATGCTATGGCTCAAAATTAAGTGGTCAAATCCCAGGGTGTCTAAGTTTTGATAAGCCCTCCAGCAGTCTGATATTATAGTTTGAATCCACTCTTGAATAACACTGATAAGTGTTTGTGCTGTACGATCATGCACAGCCACACACAAAAAAAAGTCTCCACAATCACGTTCAATACCTCCGAACATCCACTGCCCTTCAATATGATGGCCTTGATGATACTTTCTTTTTTTAAAATTTACTTTCATCAATTTCAACTGTTTTACCAGGCTCACCCATCATCTGGCTGTTCATTTCAATGTACTCCAGAATTGTCTCTCTTATGCATTGGCTCCAGGAGGGCATTGTGTTTGATCCAACCATATTCTTTCATTATCTTTGATGTAGCAACTTTATCGAGCACATCATATGTCAACACAAAGATTTCAGCTATGGTCAGTTTGCTTTTTGAAAACCATGATGATACTCGAATAGTCTTTGAATCATAGCAAGCACTGCTGTTATTTGTTTTTTTTCCCACACTACAATTATGCCATCTGGGAGTTTGCGATCATTTTTAGAACCATTGAACAGTTGAATTTAGGACACAGCATACTACTCTGAATCAGCTCAGCCTCCTTTAAAAATTCGAGCAAAATTTCTTGCTTTGCGCACAGAAACACAAAAAACAGCCTAGCGGGGATACAATTCTTTCCCAAACAATTACCAATGGCTGGCAGTTGACAAGAATTGGCTATAATGGTTTGTTATTTTTTTTATTGTACTCTTAAGTGGTGCCATATTACTACAATATAAATTTCTTTAAATAGTTTTTAATATAAAATTACAGTTAGAATAATGTATGAAAATACAATAAGTAAAAGAATGTAAAATTAAAATAAATATGTAATATAATTTTTATAATAGCAAAATATCTGTAAAATGAAATATAATGAATTACAACTAAATAAAGAATAAATAATATAATAATAAGTTGAATAAGATCAAAATGAATAATAAAAAACTATATTAAAGGTTACAATGAAATGGTAAAATAAAATTAAATATAATAAACAAGAATACACTGAAATGGTAGCAAAATATCAATATTTAAGATTAAAGAAAAAAAGCAAAAGTTAAATCAAAAATAATAACAAAAAACAAGAAAAGCTCTGGCACATACACCACATAAAGAGAAAGATTCTCCCGCCTTTCTGGCCTTCCGTAGCGTTCCTGACACGGCTACCATAATTGGTGCATTATTTGCCACTTGGCAAGTAAGAATAGAGTTGGCGAGAAAATGGGGTTATATGCAAGTTTAGCCAATTTTTTATTATCCTTATTGACAAAAATCTGCATAAAATCTCCAGATTCATTCCAGTAAAAAACATCATGTAAGACACCGAAACTCCATTTTTCATGTATTACGATTGTCGCTTTGTAAATCAATCATACATTTTGAAACTGCAGTTCAAAATACAAAAACTAGAACAGCAACAATATTTCCAACATTTAAACATTACCTACTTTCAAAAATCAACAAACTTGTTAATAAAACTATATACTCTATGTTAAGTTTTATATTAAATCACTTAACTGCAAGTATAAAATTAAAAAAATAAAATAAAATAGAGGCAAATTTTCTTCACAGATAAAATTAATACACTACATGGGACTTGCTTGTGCTTACAGAATTAAAGAATTTGCATATCAACAACAGATTACATAACTATTATTTTCATAGTCCTAAAAAGAGACTAGCAGAATTTCTTTTCACACATTAGAAATTTAAGCCATTGATAAGGCAATTCTGAATGTTAATACCAGCAATTTTAGACATGAAATTCGTCATAACAATGAGAACAGAAAAAAATTTTAAAAGACAGTTTTTTTCAGCAGAAAGTTATGTATGACATTTTTTCTATTACAATAACTATTTCCGAATTTGCATTGTGTCAGTTCACATAGTGGCATTTTAATTAATTACATTAATTATTCCATATCTTACCTAAATTAGTATGATATGTTGGATTGCTACCATTTATCTGTATGGCTGTCAGAAAATGTTTCTCCGATTCAGAATATTTCCCAGCTTTGCCAAGTGTATTTGCTAAATTAAAATGCAAAGAAGCCTCTAATGGCAAATGATGTAATGCTTCACGTGCAACAGATTCAGCCTTTGATAAGTGACCTACAATAAAATCCTTTTACTAAATTAATAGGAAAAAAATTCAATTTTTTCATGAAATTATTAGTAATATTTAACAACATCAGTATCATTAAAGCAACTTTCAAGAAACTGAATGCAACTTACTGTTTTACAATATACTAAATAAAGAACCAATGCAGGATACAGCCTTACTAATGAAACTTTCCAACTATTAAATCTGACTAAAAATAAGATTTAAATTATAAGAAGTGCATTTATTCAGTCAGTGAGTTTGTTAAAAAAACAAATCTTAATTAAACAGTTAATACCATTTTCACATTGCAAATGAGCCTCATATACAAATTGTAAGTTAAAAATTCTTAGCCACGCAAGCTATCCACCCTCCGCACATCTTACCAAGAAGACCATGATTTTCTTAGATTCATATCATGGGAAGATTATACGGAAAGAAAACAAAAAATTTATGGTCACTGACGAGTAGTGTTTGGACTTGCGAGTAGCCCTTTCTTGCTAGCTGCCGTTCTAGATTACCATTTGGGACAAAATGAAAGCCATTTTCCTGAAACCGTAGAAAAGCTTAGGAATGCATTCTATATGGATAACTGCATAACTTAGGTAACTAGTCAAGATGAACTTAAGAAATTCATTTTTGAAGCAAAACAGATTCTGGCTACAGGTTGTTTCGATTTAAGAGGTTGCGAACATTACAGTCTAACAAGTGAAGAATCTTCGATTCATCACAGCACCTTTGATTCTATAGGAATTCTGTGTCCAGTAACGATTCGTTTGAAACTGTTAATACAGAATAGCTGGAACCTTAAGATTGGTTGGGATGAAACCTGTCTAGAAGATATTAGCCTGGAGTCCAATAAATGGCTTGAAGATTTACATCTGTTGACAGAGATCAAAATTCTAAGATATGTCCAAAGCAATGTCCCGGAAGAAAAATTGAGTTTTCATATTTTTTGTGATGCGAGCAAGTCCTCCTATAGCGCAAAGGTATTTTTACGAAGCGAATGTGAGAAAGGGGTAAAAGTTCGTTTGATTGAAGCTAAAAGTAAATTGGCTCCTTGAACAAAGATAACAATGCCTCGATTACAATTGTTAGCATGCTTGATTGGAGCTCATCTCACTGCAACAGTGAAAGAAGCAATGGATATAAAGGGAATATCAAGTACCTGTTGGACTGACTCCCCTACTGTTATGTTCTGGATCAAGCATGAAGATAACTGGGGAACATTTGTAAATAATCGAGTGAAGGAGATAAGAAATTTAACATCAAAGGAACAATGGAAGCATATTCCAGAAAGCAAAAATCCGGCTGATCCCCCATCAGAGGAAGTTCCGCTGCAGTTTTACTCAGATCCAGATGGTGGGATGGTCCACTGTGGCTTAAACAGCCTGAAGAAAATTAGCCCATCTCTGAAATGAAATTAAATATGGAAGATGTTTCTAAAGAAAGAAAAAGGGAATAACTGGTCCACTGTAGTTAAACAGCTGAAGAAAATTAGCTCCTGAACGAAAAATGGTACTTGCATCGTTTTTCTAAAGAAAGAAGCTCTTTGGCTCCTTAAGTGCGCCTGGTACAAATACCATGGAAGGCGCAAATTTTCATTTAAAAAAACTTGGTAAGAAAAAAAATTACATCTATTTTGATAAATTAAAATTCTTCTATAAATCGAGAACATGTATAATTTTTTGTTTGAGTAAAAAGATAGATAGGTAATTAAAATTTTATATTATTGTAAAAATACATAATGAACATCGAGTTTAATTTTATTAGTTTTCGTAAACGTAAACATAAACCATGTACAAGCTACCAGCATGCGCGTGCATGCGTTTTATAAAAGAGTGAACAAATTGACATCACAGAGCAACAGTGTGAACAGTTTTGTCTTATCTACCCTATCTGATGTTGTCCTGTCTTATTAAAAAGTTGTATTTTTAATCTAGCTGCACATCTTATAGGTATTTTTATACGATTTTATTACACTTGCTATGTATGTTTGTGGTTCCGGTACAAAATTTGTAATCTATTTTTCGATAACTTCTATTTGTCCAAATGTTGGAAGTTTTCTTGCATTTTTAGTCATATTAAAAGTTTTGTTATTCTGATGATGGAAAAAATTATTTTTTTTTCTTTTTAGTGCGGTTGCATATATTAATAAAATTGTATTTTTTAAAAACATCTTTTTTAATTTTTATTTTCATCAATTTAATAATGATAATAATTTTGTACTGGTGGCTTTAGAAAAAATATATTTGGAATATTTTTATAGGCACCCCAATTAACATGGCTACCAAAAAAAAGCAAAGAAAAACGGAAGATGAAAACCGCGAAATTAAAGTTGAGTGGACCGAGAATTTTGCATTTATTCAAAAGTTGAATGGACTTCGGACACGTCTTATTTGTAAGGAGAAATTCGCGCATAACAAGAAGTCAAATTTAGAGAGACACTTTACAAGACAGCACGTGTCATTTAGCACTAAATATCCTACCGGTGATGCAAAGGAAGAAAGCAGTTGAGGAACATCAGAAGAGTCGTCAACTTCTGTGTTTAGTAACTGGATGCAATCTTCCAGCAATATTAATATGGCAAGTTTTGTTTGTAGCCAAGAGATTGCTAAGAGAGGAAAACCATACATAGACGACGAATACCTAAAAAATTGTTTTATAAACGCATCCGAAGAGCTATTTCGGGATTTTAAGAAAAAAACAGATATTCTGAAAAGAATTAAAGAGTTACCATTGTCTGCAAAAACCATTAAAGATAGAACAATTAAAATGTGTTCGAATATAACCACCCAGAATATTGAAGATCTGAAATTGGTTTCGGCTTTATCAATAGCAGTTGACGAGTATTGTGACATAAATGATACAGCTCAAGTTTCACTTTTTGTAAGATTTATGTCTCATTCAGGCCCTAAAGAAGAAATTTTAAGGATTATTGCCACTCAAAGGTCAGACGCGTGGAGAAGATATCGCCAATGCTGTAATTGAGTGTTATGGATAAGCATCATATTCCCCCCGATAAAATTGTGTCGATTTCAATAGATGGGGCCGAAAGTATGAACGGCGTAAGAAAAGGGGTTGTTGTTATTTTGAAAGAAAAAATTAATCACGAGATACTTGTTTACCATTGTATCATTCACCAAGAAGCGCTTTGTGCACAAACATTTCCGGAAGAAATTATGGAATTAATTGAAATTTGTGAATTTTGGAATCAGTGATTACCATTATTAACTACATTTTAGCTAAAGCTCTTGATCATCGTCTTAATAATCTCTCCATTTCAAATTTTTATTTAAAATGGAGAGTGAGTACTCTGATCTTCTGCTTCATAACAAGGTACGTTGGTTATCAAGAGGGAACGTTTTTAAACGTTTCGCGTCCATTTTTTCAGGAAATTAAAGCATTTCTCCTTGAGAAGGGCATTCGCTATCCAGTACTAACAGACGATCAGTGGATCCAAAACTTTTATTTCATGGTAGACATTACGTCTCATCTAAATCAGCTTAATCGTAAACTACAAGGGAAAGGAAACTTAATTTTTTCGATGTTAGAAGAAGTAATAACATTCGAAACTAAATTATCCATTTTTGCACAGGATTTTGAAAGGGAAACATTGGTTCACTTTCCGAGCCTGCTAAAACATCGCCAAGAAAATAATTCCTCTATTAATAAACACCATTTTAAAAAAATAATTTTAAATATGAGGGAAGCATTTCGCAGCAGGTTTCAAGAATTTAAAAACAGCAAAGCAACTTTAGCATTTGTCAAAAATCCTCTTAATGTTACAATAATCGAGTTGAAATTTTCTCCTTTTGACATTGGTAGCTTTGAAATACAATTGCTGGATTTAAAAAGCAAGGAGATATGGCGCTCTAAATTCGAACGTCTTTGCATTGAACTGGAAATATTGGAGAAGAAAAATGTGATCTTAGTTTACAACACAAGTGGTGTGCTCTGAATGACCTGGAGAAGGAAGACATGATCATTTTCAATGCTTGGAATAGTATTCCTGACTCTTACGATCAGCTGAAAAAGCTTGCGTTTGCTGTTCTTTCCCCCTTTAGGTTCTACATATATATGCGAACAATCTTTTTCAAGCATGAACATTATCAAGAGTAAACTGAGAAGTCATCTTATTGATGATAACTTGGAATCATGTCTAAAATTAAAAACAACATACAAACCTGACTTACTCAGACTTTCCAAGGAGATGCAAGCACATTGTTCCCATTAATAAATATTTATTAAGTATTAAATTTAGTTTTATTTAGTGTAATTAAAGCTTACTAAGCAAGCAGATTTGGCTCCCAATTTTTTTAAAAAATTGTTGTAATGTTCATATTTGGCTCTTTGGTTAATAAGTTTGCGGACCACTGACCTAAGGGACGGAAAGAAAAGTTGGATACTTTTATTCACCTCTGCTGTTTATAGGGCCATACTGTTGGAAAATATGACTTATTGTAACCCTTTTTCTGCATCATCTCTCCTCCTTGAAATATTTATTAGGCTTCTTATTGGGAGTTAGTAGTTACTTATTTAAAGGGACTGTTTCAGCCTAATGTTTTACGTTATCGGCAAGTCTTGTGCCGATAGCTGATGGACCGTGAGATGATATCCTAGTCTAAAGTGGTTCGCGCCTAGCCTTTCCTTCAGGAAGAAGTTCCTGGGTTCCAATTGACTTTTCAGGTTCCTGTCTACAAGATGAGTGACTGCCGTGGGCGGCATCCATGTTCTTCATGAAGGCGGCATTTAACATAAGTTAGCGGCGATGTTTTACTGGGCTATGATTCCTCGTGTTCAACGGAAACAAAAACAACTAGTAACTAGAGTAAGTGGAGTTAGGCCGGATTTAAGTGTCCACAAGGACTTAATTTAATTTTCACATGCTTTTTGATCATTAAGCGTGGATCTATTGACAGTGTAGCTAATTTCATTTAAAACAGCATAATTTCTGTTTAGGATACGTTTTTCGCGTATTGAATGCCAGAATTTTGGAGACCAGGTAAAA